ATTCTTTGCCTCTGCATCCATATGTATAATTACATATAATGCACAGCTTCACAAATGTTAACATTAGTAAAATTATATTGGTAGTCAAACAGTTAATTATATAATACAATAAATAAGAATTTACAATTTGCTGCTTTATTCCAAATTTAAATATAACTTGAAGAAAGGTAACATAATTCATGGTTGCTATCTGAATCAGTTCTGCCCTAATGCATCATGGACTTCAACCTTTGTAATCTGGATTTAACACATTCAGGATCACAGAAGAGATGGACACAACCAATGGAATTTCAGTTAATGATTTTAGAACAGATGTTTCTACCAGATTGATTCACATAACAATTTATACCTGTCTGTCCAAAACATAAAACGTTGTCACTTCTTTGCTTGCAGATTGAGTCCCGTCACTTTTGTCGAGCACTAATATGCTAAACCTGAAATGAAAAATAAAAGCCAAATGGAAACATTATTTAATACACCATGTTGCTAACGTGAAGTCCAAAGTTCAGTTATCCTATTCATATTCCGAAATTTCTGTCCAACAGCTTCAATTTGATTCAGTTGGGAAAGTTTCTGTATAAAATGTTTTCTTTGTTGTGCATGGTCATACAACACCATTAAAGTGTCCTATGATCAGCCTGTGAATGACTTGGTAGTATAAAACAGCTTTGAACATAAATTAAAAGATGTTCTTTGAACTAATCTGAAAGAAACATTAAAGCAGCCAAAGCAGCCTTGGCCAACCAATCCAGGGACTTCACAACAGTAATGTGAAAAACATATTTCCGAAATATCTGGTACTTTACTGATGGTACATGACTTTCCTACAGGTATCAGGACTCTTGAAAACAGCTGAATTATCAAATGGGTCCACACCCAAAACAGACCCACACAAAAGCTTATAAAAAATATCAACAAAATAATTAACACAATTAGCAGTAGCTATTTCAAGTACCAAGATACTATAAATTGTGTTATGTATAAGCATGTTTGTTTTTTTTGACCAAAGACACAGATCAAATCCTAAGCAGACACGTAAATGAGTATTATAAAAGGTCAGTACTCCATCTGTCGTTTGCACATTCACTGAGAGTAATTACAAAACCGATGATGTCTTCACAAGTGTCTGTGCTCCAGTATTTTAACAGAATATCCCCCCATGAGGTTCTGGCTACAACTCCCATGAACTATGACTAAAGGGCACAAGCAAACCAAACGAAAACGCATAAGGACCAAAAAACATCTTTACAATACTCCTAAAATTTTTGGTAAATTGTGTTTTCTCTTTCACAATACACAAAAAGTATTACACATAATTACTGCACATAACATTTGTAGACTAAACATAGTTTGGTTTTGCATTTCTTCTCATCACATTAAATCGTTTTTCATCATTGTTTCTGTTCCCGGAATACACATATGTACCCAGCTTACTGATTTTAACTGGTGCCACAGTAAACAGTATCTTGCTTTCTCTATAAAAATAGCATATACATTTTGTCTTGGATTGTAGTATTAACACATAGCAGTGTGCCAGCAAAGATAAGTGAACATAATTTTAGCCTGACAATTTTTCTGTGCAGAATACTGGACAGCTTAGACTCTAAATAGACTTGCAAGGCAGAAAGGTAAGCCTAGACTTATTATTTAGAATTATACATACATCAGTTTAGAACTATACATACATGTATATATAAATAAAATACCCTGAAATTTGAGTTAAAATAAAACGCTAAAATATTAAAATCAGAAAAGAAATAGCTATTTTTATAAAGACACTAAGTTTAGCCTACAGCAAAAGTCAGTCTAAGATGGAAATTCTGACCTTGCAGATAACTGAGCAGTAGATAATCAGTGTTTACCATTGTGGCAGAGCAGACAGACATCGCCATATGACACTGATATCTGACAGAGAACCAGAATTTTCCCTGAAAATTGAAAAAAATAATAGCCATATGATCTGCAGTGATGTTGCTTCAGGGAAGTAACTGGCTCCACTCTGTCACTGGGGTGAAAGAAAACTGGACAGAATAATTCATGCTAAAGGAAAAAAACAATAATAATGTAGAGGTCAGGTGACTCTCCATCTGAAAATGCATGCTGCCTGTGCATCTCATTAAGCACATTCATCTAGCCATCCATCCATCTACTGTAACTGCTTGTCCTATACAGGGGGTCTGGGGCCTACGGGCACAACACAGGACAGTGTGCCAGTCCATCACAGGGCTCACTCTCACCATTCACCATGTGGTATCTCCAGTTAACCTCTGGATGTTTTTGGACTGTTGGGGGGGACCAGATTACTCAGAGGAAACCACCCAATGACACAGGAAGAACATGCAAAGTCCACACACATGGAACCCTGGTGGAGACTTGAACCCAGGTTTCAGAGGCATGAGGCAACAAAAGTGCTAACCCCCACCCCACCCCTTAAGCACCCTCATTTATTGAAAACAATATCAAAGAAATACATTGAAGCTTAATCGTAACCCAACTGGGGCTGTAGTAATATTTATCTTTAACAACAATAAACTGTCCATTTTACACTCAATGAAAACTGGTGTCTCGAACAAGTGTTCAGAAACAGAGGTCATGACTTCAAACCAGAGTTCCCCAGGTATAGCTAGTAGATTTACTTTTACAGGAGTGAAATTATGCGAAACATTTTAGGGGGATGGTATGGAGGGTGATGATTTAAAAGCAGACACGGGTGGGTGGCACACATGTGCATTACTGTTCTAACCTTGTATATATAGATCCTGGGACCCACAGGTAGTGCACATTTTTGCTCCCATCCAGCTCCCTAACAGGAAGCAAAAACGTGGACTGTGTGCAGGTCCAGTTTGGGAAACACAGCCCAAAACAATTAAGAGAAAGACTAAAACACATTAGTATTATGGGAAATGGAGCACAGCTGCAAAGCTGCCTGCAATGGCAAACTAAGCCGAGTGGTTTCTCTCACATGTAATCATGGTTTTGCCGAATGAAAACAGAATGCAGCAGAATGGAAAAATGATGCAGTGCAAGGATACGGTAACTAGTGAAAGCCTGTTTTCAGTCTCTTCAGCTGGACAGTAATTCCATGTGGCAGACCAGAACTCAGAATTTTTATTTTATTTTAACAGCTTTACTGATGTTCGGTTATAACAGTGTTGCATGTAGCTCTTGTTCCTAACCGTACCTGTATTACTTTGTACTTTGTAACAGGTCACTCTTTGAAATAAATGCAAATCTAAAATGTAACTACAGCAATGTGGCTTTGGGGTAAGAAAAAGCAGCCCAATCTTGATCTCTTCCTGCTGAGGCTACATCAAAGGATTTAAACAAAGCTCTCCTGAATCAAACTGAGACAGCAGAAGACTAATCTGACAAAAACGAAGTTACACCTATGCAATGTGTAACATTTGGAAGAGACTTACCCAGAAATCTTGCAGCTATAATTGCTACTGTAGCCTTTTCATCGAACACTAAGCTCAACAGTCAAGCAATCAACATACTTAATGTAAACTTAACCTGTATTCACATTACTTAGCTGTACTGTATGTTAAGGTCTCTTTTATTTAAGTGAATGGCTTTTCTGGGCATAGAAAAGATACTCTCATCAAGGTTCTACTTATCAATGCTTTGTGTTTGGGGGTCCTTATGGAGTCCCAATTAAAAAATAAAGCAAACAGACTAAAAATAAACAAAAAAGAAGATGCAATGTCAGTGTTCATTGAGCAATCACTTTTAAAACTATATTGTGGTTCCCAAAGGCAGACTGAGGTTGGCACCTGAAATTATGATTGCTATTTAGGTTGTTTAAAATATACTATGAAATAAAGCATTTGAGTTCTTTTCTACTGTATTTTGTATTATCCATTGTTAAAGTTATTTATTATATAAAATGTTAAATGTTTATATTGACTTCGTTGTTCGTGTTATGAAGGAACAGACATGTTTTGTTGGCACTTACATGCACTGCTGATTCCTGTCTCCAGCAGCACATGGATCATAATTTTAAGACTGAATGTTTCAATTGTCTTCCAAGAGTTGGCCATCTGCAAATTAACATTGATTTTTCAGAAATCACAAAGTATTTTCTGGTTAGAGTACTGACAGCTTCGTTGGTTACAATTCCAATCAACAGAATTTTGTCCATCTGTTATTCCAAGCCTAGCCATTAGAAAAGCTGACATCTTCCTTCTTCAAAGGTTAAGTGGATACGAATAAATAATACTTCAACAGAAATGCTACAGATAATGAGTCTATTGCTTTATGTAAAACAATTTTTGGTGCAATATTAAGAATATTCAAGATAATCCAGAGCATCACCCTGGCCAGAAGCATTGTGATGTACTCTGTTTGACTGTGGAAGAATTCCAGATACAAATTGTCTAGGGCAAGTTATATATGTATGACATATTATAATAATCTTATTATTATTTTCCAGAAGATAAGCATGATGTCAACAGTAATAAAGTTGTTAGAGCATCTGTATTCTTGGAGATTAATGTACTAAAACCTAACCATGGCAAAGTCAACATTTTACAGTTTGTTTTATTGAAATGTGACATAATGCTTGCAGAGATTTAAACAACCACATCTCTGTCAAAATTCCATCTCAGCATGTGTCACAGCTCAGAAAACACACACGCACACACACACATGCACACACACACATGCACACACACACACAATCACAGTCACATTGTGGGGACATTGTGTCCTCATAAGGTAAGGTATACCCACTCACACACACACACACGCACACACATATCGGTTAAAAATATCTTTATGGGGACTGCTCATTCATTTCTATGGGAAAAATGCTAACGCTAATCTTAACCCCTACCCAGCCCTAACCATAACCATAAGTAACCAAACAAAATACAAGAGTTTTTGCATTTTTAGTTTTTTCATTGCAGTCTCAGATTTTTTTAATTAAATTGAGTTTTCCCTTATGGAAAAAATGGGTATTCATCACGTTGCGAGGACATTGTGTCCCCATAAGGTAAGGTACAGTACACACACACACACACACACACAAACACACACACACCCCTCAGGCAGCATAAATACAGAAATAAAATCACACTCCAGGAGCCTGGCATTATTTAGTTTCTGAGATCCATTGGCTTTGTTTATAAATTGCCAAACACATTTTTGTTATCCTTGAAAATAACTTCGAGCTCGAATTTACATCTGTGAGGTTTTGATTTGACAAGTGCGAACCATACTCCATAAACATGTTCTTAGCTACGCACTGCGTGCTACACAGAGGAGCGGCAATAGCAGGAAAATGTATCTTTAAAAAATGTGTGAATTAGTAGAACAGAACCATAATTCAGCCTAAAAGAGAAGAATACATGTATTACTGAAATTACATGGATGATAACAGTATATTCCTACAGCAAATATATCTTCTGATGTCAACATCCTTGCTTTCGGAAACCATCTTTCTCAACTATGCAAATCCCTAATTCCCTTCACCTTATATAACCACCATGCTATATGGTGCTGGCAGTACTGCAGTGAAGTAAGCAGGCCGCTGATAAATCAAATCTGCGTCGGCACACTTGTTTACAGGCATAAACTCATTATGTTGGCGTAGCAAATTTTTATCTCGCTCTCATTTACACAACATGACTGAGCCCCAATTAGGTGAATTACAATGTGCCAAATACCCAGTAAACCTTTGAGAAATTCAAAATCATTTCACATGTGACATTGCAGACCTCTCAGAAATCATGGGAGGGATGTCATGGTCAAAACCGGGACAGATACCATACCTGCCAGTCTTACCAGAAGCTGTGAAATTCAGGATGTATACAATGATACTTCAATGAAAAAAAATCACCAAACTTTATGGAACACTCTTTACTAATGTCTAGATCTGGGTGATTATGGTCTGCCTAGATTTGTCTACTATCCCGTGCCGCTGGAGGTCCCTGATACAGAGTTACCTAAAGATGGAGACCAAAACAAACACGGCGACCTGCTCCCTCTGAACTCCGGTTACCCGACTCCACCTCCATTCACCAGCTGGACTTGAGTGATGTAATCTGCACACAGACAGATGAAATGGAGGTATCCACAAGAGGCTGGGGCGATGTAAAGTGCAAGAATTGCTCAGGGAAAGAAAACAACATATTAGAGGCACAAAGAAAAGGCCAGAGTACACCATAACCTGCGTATTGCTTAATATAGACAATTTATGAAATTACATGTGGTATCGTACTCACTCATAAAACGCAACGACTCCTGTGGCTTTTCACAGAATCTGCCAGGAAAAGATATTGCCCCTTCCAGTCCTTCACATTTACTGAAATATTACATGCAATATTTGCCCTTAACACATTTTAAAATCAGCAATACAGATGAAAGTGCACAGATATTTTTATCATTTGATTTGTGGAACAAAATTCAAAGGAAATGCAATTAATTGGCAATGATCTCATGTGAAGGACCCCTTTCTGTTCTTCAGGTCGGCAGCTTAATTCACTCAGTGCATTTCATCCTGCTCAGAAGATCAGATTGGTCTGATTTTGGCATGAAGTGTCCCCAGAAGAGTAGATACAGAGAAGACTGAACATGTTTTTTCACTACCAAGCCTTCAGTACTGCACAACTGCTCTCTAGAATGCAGTTAATGTGCATTTCAACATAGTGGTGCTTTTCTTTCACACCCACAGCAGAGTGCCGTGATATATAGTGGTGCTCTTTATTTAGACCTACAGTACAGTTTGGTAAGGTATAGCGGTGACCGTCTTTCAATCCTGCCATGGAGTACATTAAAGTGTAGTGGTGCTCTTCTTGCAAGCCTGCAACTGAGCACAGTAGAGTACAGTGCAGGGGGGAGGTCATTCCCTTGAGCTTTGCATGCCATAGGAACTCTTCCAGTCTACCGGTTGCATGTCAGACCTTAATTGTGTTTTGATGTTTCTGCAGACCTGCGGTTGAGCGCCATTCCTAGCAGCCAAAACAGACATTTGTCAATTGACACGCACGGAGGCACTTCAGAGCCTGCTTAACGTGACAGCCCAGCGGAGTCCCAGTGCAATGTGAGTGGTGGGCAGCCGTCAGCCGAGAGCAGTGTCACACCGCATTATCCTCGTTTATTAGACTCACTCAGGGCTGGCTGGCCTTCCGTGCTCCGTGGCGATCTTCACCCCGACGTCGAAGTAAATATTTGCACGCAATCCTGAAACTGTTGGGAGTTTCCTCAGCGTTGAGAAGTTCCACGGCATGAAAAATTTATCACTCGGTGAGACTCCTGCGAGGCAACAGTGCAGGAGTTTTATTCCAATTTGATTAGAATCAATGATTTTTTTATGAGCCGTGGCAGTCCCCTTGAATTACAGTCAGGCAGCGTTTGTCGAGAGAGTCACGAAAAATGCCAAGCCAAGGCTCTTGAGCTTTTTTTCTCCTTTAATTTCCTTGGTGTAGCAAGACACGGCAATGAGCACCAAGGTGTAAACAAAGACAATAGATGTGTCTGGATTACAGCTACATACATTTTTAAGTACCCAAAACTTTTCTCCGACATAAAACATTCATTTAATTCTTAAATTATCCATTGTACCGTTATAGCTAACACAAATACAACTGTTTCTCTGTTCAAAGCATTGTAGAAATTTCTGTGTTATGTCCAAGTCAAAGATATTGCGAAGACTTGCTAAATTTAAATTGTCACTGAGAGTTTTTGAACGGCTAGTATGTCAAAATGTTTGAAACACATCCTATTCAACATATCTGCCTTACTGTAAAATAGAGATACTTTTGTTTTCAGTATTTTGCAGGCCTGTCAGCAATTTAAATTAAATCAATTTTCATGTATGCCTATTTTACCCCATGATTAACTCCAGTTTTCCACACCCAACCACACTGGCTTTCATTTCTTAAGGCATTTCATGTTCTTATTAGCCACCAACTTGGTATTAACAGCAGAACTGGCATGATGCCCATGTGGCACTGGTTAGCACTGACCTGCCGATTGCTGCTCGGCGCTTAGAGTCACTTGGCACGCTCTGTTTACAGCTGATGTGAAGTATCTGTGTCACAAGCCCTATGCAGCAGACAGGCCGGCGGAAAGAGCAGAAACCAGAAGAAATCACTGCTGGCATCCCACCAAACCCTGTGTGTACTGTAGATTCTTTGCGTGATTCTTTTATTCTGTAATTTCCAGGTGTATCACCCTCTGCTAAATACAGACAGGTCAATAATAACCTTCTCCATGAAACAAGTAAAATAAGCACGTTTAAATATGGTCCACATGTATTACGCAAACACCAGCTTATATACCAGTATAAATATGCTACAGACATACATGTCCCAGCCAGCCATTAGAAAATCCTTACTAACACCCAATATTAAAGCAATATTAAAATGCCCGGCTGAATTACATCGCATTTATGTAACTGCAGCACCTACTTTGAAATACCAAGCACTTCAAAGAATGCGATTACAGAATTTAATAAAATGTGCAAATGGATTCCTGTGAGCCGAATGATTAATTATGACCTCTTGGAGCCTTATTCAGTAATATCACGTCTTTATAACTGCATGCACAGACAGATTCACAACAGCTGATAGCCCGCACGCGCATCCCAAAGGATGTTCCAGTTAAACATCCCCAAAGTTTATTCAGCAAAACTATAGCAAGTTAAAGCAAGTTTGATCTTCCGCAAGGTAAATGTGACGATTTCCATTGGCGGGCAGCAGAAAAGTGAAATGGATGCAAGCCTCGGGTTTTGACAGGGGCCAGCTGTGTTTTCGGCGCGAGCCATGTTCGCTGTCCGCCCACGACGGCGCGAGCCGGCCAGATTGGCACGGAGCTCGCGCCGGCGCCCTTCCCGCCGCGGCGCGTGACGCGAGCCAGCACTCCGCTTCCGGTACGACAGCCTACGACGCACGAGCCTGGGGAGCCGGCACCCATATTTTGGGAAGGTCTCGGGACGGAGAGAGTAGCTGACAGGAGCTGCCGTAATGAGTTTCCTCTGGCTAATGAGGACGGTAATTACCTTCCTCCACTCTCACTTCCTTTTACGCTGGCGGTGAATTTGATCTGTCCTGCTGGGAGATTCGGCGGCGGTCTCGCCGCGCAAAGTCATGGAAGCTCCGCCGCTCACAAGAACCAAGAAACATATGCATGACTTTTAAAATGCAATTAAGAGCCTGGGCTCTCTCCAGCATTCCCATCACATTTGTAGTCGCCGCTCCTGCCTCAGTGGGAACTACTTTTCCATTCTTCCGTTTCAAATTAGTACGGAAAAGTATCGGCAAAACTAGTTACAAGTGGATCTCGCATTAGCCTGCAATCTCCGCAGTGAAAATATTCAAACTGATCATTATCGGAAAAATGATGAAACAACTGACTAAGATAAGCGAATGAAAACAAATTTCTCTTGTAAAACCACCTTATTACATACGATGCAATAAATATGCCAACAGGAATAACAGAGACAATGAAATAATTGCCCTAGAATTTGAACTCAATACATAATTTATCACTAATGAAAATGGACCAAATATATACTGAGCAGTCATAATAGAGGCTACGGCCTGGAATGGATTTAAACATTACCCTGCAATAAAAGCTGAGGCATCAGTGGATACTATCCATAATTTCTCTAGATTATTAATTTTATTAAAGGTCATGAAAATGAAAACATTTGCTGAAATCTTCTCCTAGTCTCTAAGTCTGCAGGCCCAGTTCTTAAAAACAAAATGACCAACTCAGACGACATTATAACAACTACTGTATAATATAAAACATATAACAGGGCCATAGATTAAAGCTGTATTATGATACCAATTACTATCCTGCCTGAGGCTGACCAACTGTCTGTCGAAATAAAAGCCTGGCGTCCCGTTGAACTACGTCCTGGCACATTTAACACCGCTAGGAAATTATGGAGGCCTGGTAATCAGAAAAAATGAAATAATATGCTGCGAAAAGGGCACTTCAAAAACAGCTTCATTGTGTAAATTTAAATTCACAGCTCACAAATTATAGTATCCAGTAACAGTCATCTATCCTCATATGGAATAGTATTGCATACATATGCAAATAAATGATACATCAGCTATAAATACATGAAAAAAAATCATGTACAATTTCAGCGACTTGACACCACACACGTATTAGTTGTGTTATATTGGTGCTTCTATTGTCTGGACATTTAGGAGAATCAAACTCGCCACAGGACTGTGAAATCGATGCTCCTCACCTTTCTGAGTCGCTGCTGAACAGCCCCACAGTCACTGCTGACTGACAGTCGCTCTCAGCCTCCCTGTCCTCGGTGACAGATGGGTGACTTCAGCCGTATGAGTGTTCACACAGTACAGCCCTGCTATTTAGGACCTGTTAGCCGGAGAAAACACTCGTCTTAATCCAGAAAGTGTGAGGAGGTCCTGTGTTCTGCAGGTTCCTCCAACACCTATCAGCTGGAAGTGATTTATCCCTGTGCCGTTGCATGTCAGAAATGTTATCGGTCATGTTTGTATACATGGGGACATGCATTTCATCTTCCCAAATCAACAGTTTTTTCACTTGTTTTAGCTTTTCAGATCTATAGTTTTATTCTTCAAGAAATGAAAACATTAATGAATTGTAATTTCTCATGCACGCAATTATATTTACATTTGTCCATTCATTTATTCCCTCATTCCTTCTCCATAGCTGCTTCGCTGTTGCAGAGTCGCAGGGGGTCGGAGCCCATCCCAGAAAGAGTGGGTGCAGGGTATGGAATAACCCTGGACTGGGTACCAGCCCATCGCAAGGCACACTCACCATTCAATTATATTTTCATCTCCTAGCTAAATGTTTTGTGGTATTTTTGTTTAATTGCATACGTGTTGTATTTCGATAGGATTAATGTAAGTAATGCATTCAGTCATATCTTCACAATAAGTACGATGTTTTTATTTTTTAGTTTCCCATTCTTTTTCCTTTTTTTCGCTGTTTTGTGTGTGAGACAAGCTGGCCGATTAAGCTTTAGGGGAATGCGGTGGGGGGGGGGGGGGCTCTCAGGCAGTTTCCTTATTGATCAGACAGCTGGGAAAAATGTGCTTTGAACTTTAGTTGTTGTGTGGCTGGATATTTCCTCCCATTGCAGGAGCTGCAGTGACAGCATGGGGATGTGTGTGCGTGTGTGTGTACATGAGAGTGCTCCCTGTGTGTATGTGTGCGTGTGACACGGAGTGCTCCTTGTGTGTCCCTGTGTGTGTGTGCCTGTGATACGGAGTGCTCCTTGTGTGTGTGTGTGTGTGTGTGTGTGTGTGTGACACGGAGTGCTCCTTGTGTGTCCCTGTGTGTGTGTGTGCCTGTGATACGGAGTGCTCCTTGTGTGTCCCTGTGTGTGTGTATGTGTGCCTGTGATACGGAGTGCTCCTTGTGTGTGTGTGTGTGTGTGTGTGTGCGTGTGACACGGAGTGCTCCTTGTGTGTCCCTGTATGTGTGTGTGTGTGTGCCTGTGATACGGAGTGCTCCTTGTGTGTCCCTGTGTGTGTGTGTGTGTGTGTGTGTCTGTATACCTCCAGTAGCACTGATTAAAAGAGGCAGGGTGTAATGTAGCATAACTCGGTGTATTTTTTCTCAGTACATATTAATAAGAAGCATTATAAACTCAGGTATCCACAGTGAAGCAGAAGCAGATTTTAGACAGCTGACATAATTGTGCCATACAGAGAAAGTGAAGCTTTTAAGAGCAGCTTTCAAAGGCTGTGCTCTTCTTGTTCAGTTCAATAACAATTGGCAATAATGATATCTAAATAATAATATCTTTAACCCTCTGAATTGCTCTACCTTATTTGTTAAAACTTTAGTTTCATACAGAGCTTTAGTGGACAGGCAACATACACTAAATATTTATTGTTTAATGCAATCAGACCATGTCAGAATTATTTAATGTAGGTCTACATACTCCTTAGAAATACTCAGGAATATCATATCCACCAAACTATAAAAATTAAAATGGATGTGCTGTCGAGCTGACAAAGATTACCAGACTTAAATAACTTATGAGGCGCATTAGTAATAACGTTGACTGTTTTGCTGTAAAACATCTCAATTAATGTCACACTTTGGGACTTCATGTCCAGCTTGGTTTAAAATGCAGGCTGATGTGCACGGTTTTTTTCTTGGGGCAAGAAACCTGTCAGTTCTCAGTAACTCGAGAAAGAGAAGAGGATGTCAAAAAGGATGGCTTTTTCACCATCTGAAAATGTATTACAGAAATCCAAGTTGTTTTTATATATATATATATAAAATACACTCTATTAACCACAAGTAAGTTTTATTTATGAATATTGAATGTTACCCTTTATCCAAATCATCTCCCTAGCTGATTTAATAATTTAGACAAATTTATTAGAATAACAACGATACAAGCTTTTCTAATTAGAGATACCAATGTAATTAAGTACTTCTAAGAAACCATTAGGCATGCACTCAATAAACTAGCAAGGAGAGCAATAACTACTCCATATTGGTGAATATTGTAGCAACAACGGGATGGTTCCACATAGCAGAGTCCAGAAGGCATGCTGGGAGACTGTAAATAGCCAATGTGTTGTTCTTAATGTTAATATTTGTGTTGTATTTCCCTATTGCCATGTGTACCTTTACCTGTGTTGTATGCGTGATCCTGACGTGTCCCTAGCTACAGTGTAATTATCCACCACGAGTGTGCTTTGCTGTGTACTGTGTGGCCTCCCTGTGTTTCCCTGCCATTAATTGTAGGAATCTTGTGGTTGCTTGAGTGCAGTCCTTTAAGGACTCTGTTAAAGGAGCAGCTTTGTGTAAATCTGACTCACCATGGTTCATTGCCGCTGTGGTGATGCCTCGGTCTGCCCGGTGCCACAATATGAATGTTTTCCATAAATGGTTGGTGAAGCCATCTGGGAAGGGAGGGTCATGTGACCTGGCAATTTGTGTGAAATAATCCAACCTTCCTTCACATCTGCAGTTATGGACTGATGTCTCCTCTTCTTTTGTGACTGGTCCTGATTCCCATTCTAACTCTATTCCTCATAAGCCTCCCTCAACACACACATTTTTGTTTATGTTGTTGTTTTTTTCCCTGCTTGCTGAACTGGCTAATTTCATGGATGAAAATTCCAAGATTTTTTAAAGAAGGAAACTCTCCATGAGAATTTCTGGGAATTATTGGGCAATTTATATTTTCTTGTGCAGAAGCTCCTTCTACTTACGAATGAGTTACGTTCCAAACGGCCGTTCGTACCTTCAAATGTTCGTAAGTCACTATTCAACGTCATTTTAAGGGTATACGCAAGTACTAAGAACTAGGATGCTGGGAGTTCACACGCTACGCTGCTGCGCGGCGGGAGTAGCGGCCAGAAGTCGTACTAGGCGGAATTGGCACGCAGAAAAAAATATATATATGTTACGGACAGAAAACGGGAGTCCAAGGAACACAATTTGGACTTACAGTCCGCTTCGTTCATATGTCTGAAAGCTCGTAAGTTGAAAGTTCTTAAGTAGAGGAGCGTCTGTATATGTACTGTTGTGAAACTCAATATAGTAATATAAGAGGGAAAACTTTATTAAACACAAACACACAGCATGAGGCTTGCAAAGTCTGAATCTGCTTATTCTGGAGAATTTGCCTAAAGTCATTAATGTGCAGTCACCAGAGAGTCTGCTATGGGCTGATATTTGTGCCACTAGAAACTGAATATGAATTTTCTATATTTGAATCTGCAGTTATCCGCATTACAAAACTGAATCTGAATTTAATAGTTTGAATCTGAATTCCAATAACTTGAAATAGCATTTATCCTACCTCGAAAAATTCAGTTCGCAAATTCATTTTCAATCTAGTGTGACACACATCCGGGTCCTTGAGGAAAAGTAATCGACCGCAGATTCACAACGCAACTCATTTCCACGTTTACGGCAGTTCTGCAGGACGCGGTAAAGAGGAGGCGTGTGCCGGGGTGTCAGAAAAACTAATGCTGGATTCGCAGGTTTGTCATTACCTTATGATACATATGAGAATAAGCTTTATATACACGAGCGATAACATAAACATTAACCATACGTCTTGTTAGTATATGGTAGTATATGTGGTTAAATGAAGGATTTCTGGCACTGCTAGTTTATGTTAATATGGTAGACTAAGACAAAACTAGCTAGGGATATGAATTTTACTTCTAGTTTAGTTTAAGTTATGGCTCGCCTGTTCATCTCATGTGGCTTTCTAGCAGTGCTTATGCTAAATATTTTTTTAAATATTCATCTCGCCGATATGAGGCGGAAATCAATATTAATTTTATGTGAGTATGTAATATTATTTAGCACTTCATAATGCATAGAGAATGTAAATATGACCAATAAAGTTATGTCCATGCAATGACATTTTTGTGGTGTCTTTAACCCGACCTGCAGAACTGCCGTAAACGTGGAAATGAGTTGCGTTGTGAATCTGCGGTCGATTACTTTTTCTCAAGGACCCGGATGTGTGTCTCACTAGATTGAAATTGAATTTGCGAACTGAATTTTTCGAGGTAGGATAAATGCTATTTCAAGTTACTGGATTTCAGATTCAAACTATTAAATTCAGATTCAGTTTTGTAATGTGGATAACTGCAGATTCAAATATACAAAACTCATGTTCAGTTTCTAGTGGCACAAATATCAGCCCATTAAACTGTATCATTAAAAAATCTTTCGAGTTCATTATCAGAATTAAGCATATATGTTGTATTTGAAAGGACTTTTGGATTGCTGAAAATGCATTTCAGAAATGTAGATAAATTAGGTGGAACACTACAATGCAGCCATCAGAAGGTCGCAGCACTCTTTGTGGCATGTTGTATGTTGTGTAACGTTGCCATGCTTGATGGATGTCTGTTTGGCATCAATGAGGACACATTAGAAGACTTTAGAAGGTGTGATGCTGAACTGCATCAGCCGATGCTAACAAAGGAGTGTAGGACTGCAGTATGAGCAAGGAGGGATCAGCTGGCAGAGGAGCTGAATTGTCTGTAGCCTGGTAAGGAATCTATATTGTGAGATGTAGTATAAAGTATAACAGCCCTATTGTCTTTTATATGAACATTTTAAAACACTTTAAAATTGTAGCTTGTGCTTTGTTTGAACAAACATCACACTTTTATTTATATTTTGTGAACTGCAGACCCAAAATTAAAACAAGCAGGCATAATTAAGTCCCAATTCCCAGCAACTGTGCTCGTTCAGCAGAGAAATTCCCCATCTTCTGACATCATATTAGGTGATCTAATGGTGCCAGAAGACAAGGACACGATCGCTGCTACCTCAAAAGGCTTCGGTGGAACAATGCTGCTTCCGTAGATCATATGCTCGCTCATTTTCACTTCGCGCATGAGCACGTCCGTTTCCTCAGGTGAAATGTGATCTGGCTTGCTGGGGAAAGGTGCCATTGTAATAGCAATCCGCGGTAGATCATGCGCCGCTGCCTTTTAAAGGAAAGCTGATGCACCATTACAATTGGTTCATTGCATGTTACCCGCAATACACGCCTCAAAATATTTAAGAGAGTTAGGACAAGCTTTTTCCTCCTTGCGCTGACACAAAGTCTGTTTTTTCTGCCATCAAAATAGGGAAGTGGGTTTGGACACGACCATAATTGTTAGTTTTGCTTTGAGCTTTATGCTTTGCATTAGATCGTCAAAATGGAGCCCTTGGAGTCGAACTTCTACTTCTTAGTTTCATTACTTGGACTCAGTTGTTTGTGACACTCTTTTGTTTGCACATTTAGTTTTGTATGCAATGATTTAGACTTAAACACAGTAGTGAAGGAGGTGGGGGTGGAGAAGCACGGCCAGAAAAATGCAAAGATTTCCTCTTTATAAGAGGCCATCATGCAAAATTGGCAACAATTTACAAAGAACTACCCCTTCCCTGGATCCTCCCCACTGTGACCCCTCCTCCCCTGCTTGAGCACACATGATTCCCATGATTCACATGATGACTCACTCAGGTGACTCAGCCTTGGACCACTCATGACCTATGATTTGACACAGCATAGGATGACTTAACTAAATCCATGCAAAAAAGTAGAAATGAAAAGTGCATACAAAACTACACTCTCCAAAACAAACGCCATTTGGTGGGGCATAATAAAATCCCAAAATTTGTATTAAAATTTCCATGGAAACTTTCAGGAAATTCACCACCACCTCTCCAGACCTTCATGACCCCCCCCCCCCCCCCCTTCTGTGACCCTGTTTGGTTCCTGGGACATTCCATCCCAAATAAATATGTTGCATCCCTGTGTGACGTGCCGGCGGCCCAAAGACCTCAGGAACGCTTCAGAGTCAGCCTCCCCCAAGACAAGGTGAAACCAGCTTGCTAAGTTGGCACCCCCAAGGATGGTGTTACCAGGCACTGGTTGTATGATGCAGTTTTGTTTGCCCTGCTGGTTCCTCTAATCAGCTGCAGTGGGCAGATCATGCTTACCTCTGTATGGTATCAAACAAACGAACAAAAAAACATGCTTTATTTTCCAGGTACATTGGAATGCTTGTCTAAACCCACCACATCTTGCTCTCAATAGCTAATAGTTAATGTGCTGTACCGCTGGAGCTGGGGGTTAGGGCCTTGCTCAAGGACCCACAGACATGTGACTGTTTTGTCAAGGCTGGTACTTCAACTGGAAGTCTTCTGATCACAGGTACAGAGACTTAGCCTGGTGAGCCACATACCCCCCCCGCCCCATGTCAGATCTACAGATGGCTGCTTCACCCGACTCTTTAAGTAGCTATACTTTGTCTAAGAAAAAGAGACTGAATTAGCAGGATGGCCTCAGCAAGTGCCTCATTGCGCTCTGTGGAGAGCATTTTCCAGTTTTAGAGTTGTTGTAATTAACGGTGTGTGCCTTGGTCTGGTCAGGCCTGCTGCTGATGCCGTGCAATGCTCTTGGGTCTCATTCTGGCAGCCAGGTCACACGGCTCGCAAACAGATGTATGATTACAGATGGTCAGCATGCTGGCGAAGCTAACATGTCCTGCACATCTGCATTTTCAAATGAAATTAATACCCCAGGCATTTCTTTAAAATTTTAGCTTTAAGATTCATCCTTTTCATGACATCTCAGGTCTGGAACTGCCATGTGAACAGTGCTTGATTGCACTAAGAACAAATACACAACTACTGATTCAGAGTTTTCACTCCAAAACAAGAAAAAACAAAAATCTTAGTCTATTGAAAAATAACAGTACTCGCAGCCTATCTACACATATCTTCATTATGACTCAAGATTAAGCAGAAACCCACAATATATACTCAATATCCTGCTATGATCCTCATGATTACTATCTTTCTGAAAAGCTTATTTTACAAATGATTTTGGCAATGTTTGCAAACGCCTTACATTCTACCAGAGCCCTTCACCTAAGAAGTTGGAAAACTATTAATTTAAATTAGGCAATTCTGCACCTTAAAAAGAGGCAACCTATCTTATTATTACCCTTGAAGTCTCATAGAGGTAATTGCACAATACTGCTACTTTAGCTAACAATGGGACATGGCCAATAGATCACACAATGTAGTCTATTTTTTTAATATTCCTTTCCTTATGTGCCTTGTTGGAAATAAATCCCAGAATGCTTCTTTCTCACTGCCTTTGCAGCCCCATGTAGCAGCGTGTACTCTTGACTAATAGCGCCATTAATGCTACTCCAATCCTGGGACAGGATGTGCTCATATTTTTAATCTCCATCTAATACCCAGTGCACATGGCTGCCTCTCTACCTCTTTACATCGATTGATCCTATCTTGTTCCCACACCCCCCCACCTTGAAAAACAAATATACAAGCACACAACCTTGCTGGGATAATGGAAAATAAAAAATGTGTAAATATTTAACACGTTAGGGTATCGGTCATGCATGAGACAAATAATTATATTCATCAAATAACCCAGAAGTCTTTGCTTTTTAAAGTGTTTGCTTAGATGTTACAGTACTGCCTGTCTCACAATCCAACCTGGATAAAAATTGCTTTAGGTGGTAATGTTCATTAAGTATAGTGAGAGCTAATTTGCCCACATCTCCTGTGCCCTCTGTGGCCAGCAGATTTAGTTTTTAAGGAGTGTGAGATCATATTTCAGGGGTCATGAAGCTGCCAGCAAACCTTGATATAGCCTTAATGTCTGCTTCCATTATTCTCTCTCTCTGTTACCTGTCCTATAGATGAATTGCAGATCAGTGTAGGAGAGCTTATGCCAATCAAGCCATAGTGTGGCGTTTTCAGCTTGAGGATAAACACCTGCA